GTGGGTGATCTGTCCTTTAGCCTCTGCTGACCAACATTTTTATCTCATTTTGAACACCTGTGTATTAATAATCCACATTATATATGACTTGACCTAAGAACCCTTACTGTAAACTGTTGTACATGATCATACTAGCTAAAGGCTGTGTTCTGCATCATGGACTCATGGACAGACTAATTCCCTTGGTGACTCAAATAAAGCAGCTTTGAATTCTGACATGAAGCACCCACCTACTCAGGACCATGTTTCGCGTTACCTTGAGCTCACAAGTGCCCTTTATGAGGAGCCAAGCCAGGATCCGTGTAATCCATGTCTGATGGTGAAAAAGTCCAGAGGATTTGGAGTAGGCACAAGAAGAACAAATAAACAGACTAGAGGGTGCAGTTTTCATCCTGGGGGTATCAAACAGCTTTTTAAGATGGGTCGTGTCCTTTCTGAAAGCATAGAGCACTCATTACAAATCTGGTTGTGCTTTTTCAGCAATACAATTACCTCCATGACTTTCGAGAGAACCTAGCTGCACATCTGGCAACAAAGGATACACTATTAAGATCGGTATCGCGATAACTAATACTGGTGTGGTGTATCTTTGTGGCTACACGGCTGCGGCAGACAGCTGGACAAGACGCCTCATTCCTCACCTTTACAGTTTCTCATCGCTGCTGCCTGCGCGACACAGCTGCCCACTTTCGTAAATGCAGTCTTTACTCACTGCCTTAAAAATACATGGAAGTGTGTTTGTGTTCATTGCTGTTCTGCCACAGGCCTGCATGCCTAATGAGCTTGTTTTCTATGCAATAATGAATCTTAGGCAATGTCTACCTCACTTTTACCACCAGCACGTGCGTCTGTTGCCACTGACGTGGTGCACTGATGTTCTCGTGTTGACATCCTATGGGCTGCTTCAGTGAACTTACCCCCTGGAAGGGAGGCCAGGCTGTCAAAGCAGCAGCTGAATTTCATTTTGACTTCATCTCCGTTCTACGTAGCATGACATTTGGGAGAAGCAATTGGATGTGAAGGCAGGGTATGGGAGGAAACAGGATAGTCTGTAACTCCTCACAGCTAAGCGCAGACTTCCACTGCTGCTAGGCTGGCTTCTGCACGGTGTGTAGGGGAAGAGATGAAAGATAACTCCTTCTCTACTGCCTTTGTAAGAGAGTCATGCTGGGGTAAAGTAGCTAGGTAAAAATTACATCACTGGAGCTCTCACAAAAAATCCTGCAGCTTCAGCTTTAAACCAAAGGAAAATCAAACATGAGAATTTTCCTGCTGGTGTGCTCATCCCTTATGAACTAGTGAGAACTCATTCTAAAATGTCACAGTTCCGCTTAGTGCCTTCAGTGGTATTTAGGGAGGAGACCCCTCGTTCCAACAAGAGCAGGTTTTACGCTGAAGAGCTGTGACAAACCAAGCGGGTGAGTTTTCATACGAGTTTGGTAGGAAGAGACACTGTGCTGTAGCTGTGTGGGTGAGTTTCTGGCACAGCACTCCGGTGTGCTAACACTAGAGAAAGTAAATAAACAGTCGGTGGTGGGCTGGAGAGAATCTCACAGCAACACACCAGTAACAGTCTGCATCCCTCCTGTTTACATATATCCACTCATAAAGACCAGAGAAGATTAACAGAGTCCTGAAGAAAACACTTAAACTAGTTCTGTCCTATTCTGAGGAGACTATAATCACCCACCATGGTGTCCAGGTGTCCTCTGATGCCCTGTGAGACAAGTTTTGGATCTTTTGGGAGGACAGCCAGCGTCACCTGTGCCATGCCTTTCACTGTTAGACAAACCAATTGAGTTGAAGAACTCCTCTGGGCTGAAGTCATTATGCAGTTGCTGGCAGCTGAGTGTCAGCATCCTGACTGTCCTCCTGCCTTGTCATCATCTGCTCTTTCTCTGTAGTTAATTCCGTAAGTGTTCCCTGCCCTCCCCCCCAAATGTTCAAGAAATGAGGTGGTTACCTGCCCAATACCAACACCACCAAGGCAGCACTGCTGTCCTGCTCCGAGGGTCACCTTCCTCCACCCCCCAAAGCCACAGCCTACACTTCCCTATTGCCTGCAGTGACATAGATGTTTATGGTGTATTTTAATAAAGTTTCAGTAACTTCTCAGGTCAGAAGTTGTGACATGAGACTCCACCACAGCACCAGTGGTTTTGAGTTGAAGTAGAACTCACTGCTTTGCTAACTTTAAAATTTGTAGCCCTTTCTTAACATGTTTGGACCCAGACACTGTAGCACATGTTTAAAGGTGATTTCTACTGATTATATTTAATGAGCTCTTACCACCATTCTCTTCTCCCCTCTTAAGGCAGACAACAGGAACTCTCCCAGTTTCCACAGCATGGAATCACTTACAGAGAATACTTTGCTCAGAATGTGTGTTGTACCTTCCCCAACACTCAAACAGAAATCACAAAAACAAAGTGTCTGTCCCTTCAGTGCTAAATTCTTGCAGCTGATAGTTTTCAAATATTAAGTATATATCAGATGGCATTTTAAGATTGCATAGCAGGAAACTTGCTGACAGGAGAAAAGCATTCTTTATTTTCTCCATAATCTCTTGCCTCCTGGAACTCCAAAAATCAGTTAATAACAGGTCCACAGTTTGAATGCGAGATGGCTGGTTACTCCAGCTATGTGTCACACGTGCATCTCCACACGCAGCCGTCGCCTTCACAAAGACCACTCAGGCAGAACTCAGAGGTGAAGCTCACATCCCTGGGTACAGATGACAACCTTCACACCACCTGGGTGCTGGCAGACACTGACCTTTTTTAAACATAAAAGTGCTGAACACAGTTTCTCAACAGCATTCTCTGAGGGACACTGCTGAGTGGTCATCGTGCTTCAACACGCTGGGTTCTTGTAGGACTTTTGAACTTCTAAGTTGCACTTCTGACCCTTCTCTGCAATGTTTTGACAGTTTAAAGACCTTTGAAATAAGAATACCTAAATTCTTCCATTCTCATGTATTTAACCACAGCAGGCAGGACAGACTCCAAATAAGCATTTTGCTCCTGGGTTAGTGGTAAATGCAAGTTCACCAGTAGAACTGCACTGTTTTCACCTCTGAATTCCTCTGTTCAGGAACATCCACGTGCACTTTTATGTGAGACATGTAAAGGCTGTTATTGACAGGATGCTGCAAGTGTTGCAAACAATCTGCCAACTATTCCTGGGTAAAGCCATTCCATGGCTGGAGGGGGTTTCAGAAGCAGCTATCAGTTGGACTCAGTCAATCCTCCACTGGTTATTCTGCTGTGTAACTTAGCTTAAATCAGCCCAAGCACCAAGGGAATGAGAGATTTGTTTGGAAAGCCAAGGAGAGCTGGAGGCTATGAGCCAGTAAGTCTCAATTAATAAATACACAAACATGAGAAAGGGTTAACTAGTTTTGCTTACACAGGCTGAAGTCATATCTTACAGCAGCCCCTGAAGGACCTCAGCAGCAGGAAAACAAAAATGATCCAACAGGAACAATATTCCCGAGTTTCCAAAAATTCTTCCGCTAAAAGCTCAAAAATTATGATTGCATAAGGAAGAAAATCCTCTTGTCAACTAACAACTGATTGAAAGGGTTTACAGAATAGGAATAACGAGTTTTGGGTAAACAGGGCTCCTCGCAGAGCTCCAGAGAGGCATGGGTTGGAACCTGTGCCTTTGCACAGAAAAAAAAAAGGGCCACAAGAGAATGATTGCAACTGCTACAAATGTTTTGGGACAGTCAGGGAAAAAAAAAAAAAAACCAAAAACACCAACCACAAAACCCCACAACTTTGTAGCCCTGAATGCTTGAGGAATAACGCACAGAAAAGTGTCAATAAATGCAAAGAAGGAACAGATGTGAAAAACAATTTTATATACAGAGCAATAAGCTGTCAGGTGTCTATTATTACTTAGGAGAGAGAATCTGAACTTATCACAGCCTGAATTCTCATTCCCCCAGTACATTATAAAAAGAGGAGAGGAATTCGGAAGCAGATAGCAAGCAACTGTGGCTCTAAATCCCCTGGGCACCCAAATCTTGTGTGATGACAACAGTTCTGGCCTCCTCCATCTTAGGAAAGGAATATTTGCGGAGGAGAAACGATAATCACAAAGCTACGGAAGGACTTCCAATCAAGAAGAGATTAAAGAGACTTCTCTGCTTTGACAGATGACATGATGAAGGTCTATTCAATCACGCCCAGCATAAACAAGGCGGAAAAGGGGAAGTTTTCAATATGTCTTAAAAGTATAAGATCTTAGAGGCACCAAATGAAGTCCGGCAGAACTTTTAAACAAGTATTTTTTACATGCTGAGTAATTCCTCTCACTGTCTCAGCGTATCTTCCAGACTAGGCCATAAAAGTGCTCAAAAAGCAACTGAATTAATGGAAGAAAAGCTATTCAAGGGCTGTTTAAGACAACAAACCTCTAGCTCCAGCCGTCTGTAACACATCCATTTCCAAATACATTCTCCCACTATTCAGGCAGAGATATTCAATACCTGCCCCATTCACACTCTTTTTCCTCAGTCGTTGCCACTGCCCAACACACCAGCACTGGAGTATCTGGATTTCTGGTCAAAGCCAGTGCAGCCATTCATACCATTTTTACTGCATCTAACACCCGAGAGACCCAAAGTGAACAAATACACAGTTTCTATAAAAAAAAAAAGGTTTTACTAGAATTGGGAAACTATTCATTATTCTCCAGCACAGGTAAATGAAAAAGATTCCTAATTATTACTCCGCAATTAAGCAGCTGTTGCAGTAACAACTTACAATGCAGTATTATCGGTTTAGCTGAGACATCTTCCCCTGCCCCATCTACTATTTATCTGCAGCCCCATGATAAAAAGCAGGAAATCAGAGCTTCCCTTTTCCAGACGTAACTTGATTCAGTGTTCTATTTTTAAAAGGTAATGCAATTATCCACCACAAAACAAAGAGATGAAAACAGCAAATATCTCTTCAATTTAAAAACAAAACAAGGCACCAGGTAAAAATAAATGTTTCTGAATTTGAGATTTTTTTTTTTATTATTTATTGCACTAAGGAACAGCAGGGCAGTTTCACAATCTCACTTTCTGCTTTGAAAAGGTCTGTAGTATTACTCTTAAACTCAAGAGTATTTTCATCATTGGACTTGATCAATGTTGTAGGTTTGTCCGTTAATAAGACAGCACAGACATTAAAAAAAAACATTTAAATTAATTCCTTCGTGGACAATTCAACTTCTCCTGTCACAATGACATATACTTAAAGCAAGGCTAACGTTTGGTGAAAATACAGAAGCCTGAATCATGCATATACAGGGAGAGACAAACCAGATGATAGAAAAAAATAAAATAAACTAAAATAGAACTCCTACTTTTGCAATGGTGTCCATGAATTCATCTCTTTAAGACCAACGTCGCCTACAGGTAAAACACACAGCACCTCCAGTCCTTCCCGAGCACTCGGCAGCTACAGCTGATGACTGAGAGTTAGAGTGGGATACACAAGTCCAAATGAGCCACTAGGAAGCTCAGCCTAAAGAAAATCCCTACGGTACTAAGGCTAGTCAGTAATGAATACCTACTTGAAGATTATGGCTGTTCCTTATGGAGTGCAAAGTCAAAACTTTTCAAAACCCAGTAATGTTTATATTAATTTACATGTAATTCTTTGATTTCAGCGTCCCAGTAAAATATAAGAAAACAGTCTTTCCACAAGTATAAAATGTGGAAATATTTTAAAAATAGGGGAGTCATTGTTTTCTAATGCAAATGCGATCATCAGATTCCGTATTTAATCTTGGTTAGAGGCTCTTGTTGTAAAGAATCCATGTTTTGTGGCTTTTGCATGCACTTAACTGGAACAAAGCTTGCAGAATGTCTTCTTAAGAGCTCACCAGAACATAAATCATGCTGGAAAATAAAATAAGAATATTAAGATGCACCATTTTGATTAGCATTACACATTTAATTACACAGTCATATATTCTAAGGAACAAATCTGCGTGAGGTACGTGGATTGTGACAGAAGGTTTTACACAAACACATCAGAAGGGCGTTATAAAGCACAACATGAACTGATGCAACAACCAGTTGTCACTAGACCAAGTGACATTATAACAGGAAGCCCTGTATAAACACAATGCCTATGTGTTAAGCACCTAAACTACTCCAGCTGTGCTGCAGGAGTTGCAGCGAGCCAAGAGGAAGAAGGCCTGCACACCGCTTCCCATGTCCCACCGCCCAGAGCACACATGAACACCAAGCAGTGAGTTAGTTTTTGGTTTGAAAGAAGAATTGGGAGGAGGAACCAGGTGGTGGCACGGGCTTTTGTGCCTCCCATCCCTTTTCACTCTTGGAATGGTTCCTCTACCTTTGACTGCCACAAAAATCACATTTACATCAAAATAACTACTTACTTGAAAAATATTATTGTTTCAGCTTCTTAATGAAAATATGGGGTGGAGGGGGTATTATATTATGCTTAAAAGAAGAAAAGCTTGAAGCTTTCAAGTCTCTCGTAAGCATTCAAATTGGTAATTCTGGCCAAATTCAGACTTGTTTTAAAACAGAATAAATAAATGGCGATTGTGGGTTCTTTTTCAGGAAACTTGGCACTATATGTGTATTCCTATGTACAAAATTTCTCTTGTGCACTGAGCCAAAATTTCAGACAGAATATTAGGTGGGAGACAAAGGAAAAAACTTACCCATATAGGTAGTAAAAAAATGATAGAAGGTAGAATGCTAATTTGCACCATCCTTCTTTCTGGCAATAGGCTAAAATATCTGCATTCATGATGGTTGTAGGATCATACAGACCAGGGCCACTCATCACAGGTCTACTCATGTACCTGAAAGCGATGCACAGTTAGTTTTGTGGTGATGGCGATGAGAAACATTGGTCCCTGCCCCCCACCCACCAAGTAACACCAGAACCGAGACAAGGAATCGTACCCCTTACAGCAAAGTCCATCAGCTCCACGTAGGAGACATCGAACTGCAAGAGCAATACGAAGCACCCAAGTAGACATGCCCACGGAATAGCTTTCACAGAAGGCTTACCTCAGCCTTAAACCATGCTGAACTCTGGTACACCAAAAGGAAATGGGACAAATGTATAAATAAATGAGAAATGTGATTCCTTAGGAAAAGGTTGGAAAAGCTGGAGAAGAGACCACCGTATAGCCCTATGTAACCTACAGCCTCTACGCATTAATACAACACATGCCAGCTACTCATACGGGTCAATACAAAACGATCCTGAAATTGTAGTTTAGCACAGGCTACTAGTGAAAGTAGGAGCACTTCCTGCATTTCCTCCCTGCACAGGACTGACACCAGCACAAGGAGAGGTGCTGCCCATGTCTTAGTGGCAGGAGGAACGCGGGATTGCCACTGCTACTGGCAATCGGCGCTGCACATCTGCAGTATCAGTACAGCTTTGACACGTCGGCTACCTTCAACACACACAACACAACTTGATTCTTGCACAGCACAAGAGAATAACAAATAAAAATGACAGAGAAAGCAAAGTGATGGTTCTTATTTTATAGCCGTGACATAAACTTTCTCAATGTCGTATTGGAAAGCATCTTTATTTGCCAAAGACACAGAACATTTAACAGGAAGCACTACAACAGGAGAATGAGTAACAATTAACGTGAGTACAGAGATACCAGACTCGTCAATATTACCTCCAAATATGATAAGCCAACAAAGGCATATTGAGACCCAGTGTAAGCCACTCTGCTGCACAGAGAAACATAACACAGAAGAATGCATGGATGAGGTACTCTGGAAGTACAAGCTGGAAAAGAAAAATACGAGTTAGAAGTTTTGATTATCCAAAGCAAAACGTGTGGCATTTAAGCTATTTTGGAGGTAAGCTATTGTTTAAAAAGATACTATTAAAAAACAACACTAACAAGAACAAGACTGCAGAAAGTGAAAACAGCAACTAGCAGTATGTGCCTTGCTGTTTTCACATGATATTCATGAACCACAAAGAAAAATTTATAAAATTAAATGCTCAGATCAATAGTTTGTTACTTCTGTTAAATTAAGTGCACTGTTAACAGATTCCACGCTTTATATGTAACCTTCATAACAGAAAAGATCATCGAGATATTTCCGCTCATGCAACAGAGAAATATCAGTAGGAAACATGCTCCATATAACAGTTTAGAGGCAAAAAGATGTTTTGCGTTTTCCTGGTTTACAGCGTTGTTTTGGTATTCACCCATCCATATTTTTTCAAATTCCAACTATTGCCAAAACATACAATCCTAAGCACAGGCTTTATCAACCCAAATCAGCAGTAACGTCGTTAGGCACATGGGTCTGCAGAGCCGAGCGCTGCGTTGCCTGCAGCGCAGGAGGGCACGACAGCAGCTGCGCACGTACAGCTCGGGGCGTACGAGCCAGCTTCGTTCTCCTCCACAAGTACCTAACACGCATGCTTTATAGCGTCATGCTTGCCAGCAGAAGCCCACAGAGCTAATTATCAGTTCACTATGAAATCACAGAAAGCGTGAAATGCCAGGTAGTATTAGTGGTATTAACAGGAATAATATGGAGAGATACATAGATTAAATGCATGCAAAGAGCCAGCGAAACCTCACACCCGCCACAGGAGTAAAATTTTCTAAAACAAGTCACCCCAAAGTGACGTCATTTGTTCCTTTATCACAGAATTCAGAAAGAAGCAAGTCTGTAAGCTTTTGATTTCTCAACTTAGGACCACTAAAACATCTCCTTGTGAAAAATACTCCATTTCTACCCAAAGATTTAAATTGTCTCTGTGTGTGCACACACTTATACACACACACACAACACACTGTGCCTCTCTTTTTGTGTAATATCACAAACATTGATTCTCTCTAAGCAGACACTTCTTTTAAACCCCAAGAACATCTTCCTAGAAATCTAAAAACTACCATTTTCACCACCTACTTTGCCACATCATTCTCCTTCTCTAAATGAAGGATATCAAGCAAAGCAAACTTGCATCAACATCAACAAAAATAAGCTGTCACACATGAAATGTTTCACGTAAATATTTTTGTCCAGATCCTTCTTTGTATACTTACCATTTATAACTTGGCAGTTATTTAGAGTAGAACAACAACAACCACCACCCTATCCAAAACACAATGCATTTGGCAGCCTGCTGAGACAGATTTACTAGGTCTTAAAATCTGTAGTTTATTTATCTACACATCTCAAAACACATTTTTCTTTCTCTTGTTTATTACACCCTACTCCCACACCAGAATACCTGACTCTTTCAAATCTACCACACTTTATCCTCCCTGGCTGTCCTAAAGGCAAATGAACTACATCATATTTGACAATGATATTTATCAGAGAAGCGAGGCAGGAAGAAATCTTGTTGCTGAGAAGAGATACTACTGTAATGGGAGCAGGGAAGAGAAAGCATCAGCAGCGTACTAAGCAGTTACTATTTTGGGCTAATCTTTCTACTGAGGTGTCTCAACTCCTACCAGGATTTTTGATTCTCTGTACAGGAAAACAACGCTTCAGTGTGTTTGTCCAGCATCATTTACCAGATGCCCTCAAGAGCCTGGATCTTAACTTCGCTTTTGGTGGCTAATCTACTTTCACAAGAACAGCAAATATTAAATTATTTAGTATTTTCAATTCACAAAGCTATCATATAAGTAAACACTACATGCATGTCGGTTAACAGAAGGTTAATATTTGCATTAAACATGCGCATTACAATACTACAAAGGTTGCGATAAGATCATAATGCATAAATGTAATGAGAATTTGCCTTCCCCCATACTGTAGCAGAAATGACCGTACAACAGACCAAGCAAGGGAAACTGTTAGATGCACAGCTCTCCGAGCAGCAAACCTCACTCTCTGGGCTGCAGTCCTCTGCCTGGCACCTCTTCTCCTCCCCACCCCTCCTCACGCTGTACTGCTCGCTGTCAACTGATGTGCCCTATGCCTAACATGCCTTGCCCTCCCCCCAGCTACTGTAAACTCCTTTTTCATTTGCAAAATTTACTTAACTCTTCAGAACACATTAAAGTTACAGTCCAGGCCCCGCTGCTGCACTGCCCCTGCATCCTACCTCAGCCTGGGCACACCAAGCCAAAGTAAAAACAACAAGAAATGCACAAAACCCCCGCTGCTTCAAACTATATGCTCTTTAACAAGCATCCCTTTTATTATCGGCCTGTTACAGATGCAAGCAAATAGTTTGTCTCAAAGTCTTTTCACAAACCAAGGAGTGTCAGAGTTGCATCCAAGAGGACACCAAGATACACCCCTGATTCTGGAACATAAAACAAAGAAGTGAAGATAACACCTGTCACATTATGCCCAGCTAAGTCCTCGAACAAGATCGGAACTTACTCAGTCAATACTTTAAAAAAAAAACTAGTCTCCTATAATCTCAGAGTTCAATAAATCTTGCTTGAGGAATACTATTTATTTATATATGAATTCACTTCTGCTAACAATACTGCAGCTAAGAACATACATGACAGGCATGTAACAGTTTTCCCCACTTCATTGGGTAAGCAAGCAAAATCGTTTGGCAAAATATGGAAATCCGTGAAGTTGTTATAAACCCCAACAAACAAATAACGAGCAGATGAACAGGCACACTAAACAAAACAGCTTAGTAGTATTACAAATGTTCCTAACGAAATGAAAGGAAAGTGGCATTAAAAACATTAAACTGAAAAGCAGTACACACCTTTAATGCAATTTTGACTCTTTTAATCTTTTTGACCTTTTCAACTGTCTTTGTGCCGAAAATGCAGAAAGCAGATTGAAAGAATGTTAGTACGACAGCTGACAAGATCACCAGCAGATTAATAACAGTCAGAATATTCAACTCGAAAGTAAAGAATCAGACAAAGAATTTTCCCTAGAACTTGTATCCAACAGCTAGGATTTGTCCACCCAGATGCAATTCTATTGCCTAGCTTGAGTATATCAAGGTAATATCAAAACCAACCACTTTACATACATTTATTAAAAAAAAAAAAACCCAAACATTCAGCATGCAACTTACAGGATTGAGGGTATTACATTGGTCTATGGGGTTCTTGTAATCTGTCTTCAGTTCATCAAATGCTATAATCTAGAAAAAAATTGAAAGGGTTGTGATTCTTCAGTCCAGGGGCAACAGTGTATTTTATCCGTGGAAAGTAACATTTCAGTACAGAGCTATAAGGTTCGAGTGCTGCCACCCTACTCAGGAACATAATTTCTCCTGAGCACGTTCTAGCGTCTCAGTCCGGCAGGTAAGACACATAGGAAATGGGGTGTACAAACAGGAAAGCAGAAGACACTTCAGGTGTTCACAGCCCTCTGCCCACACTCTGCCTTTCTACCTCCCCACCAGCAACGAACTTCCAACATCCCTCCAGCAGTTTTTAACCCTGCTCGCAGTGCGCCGATCCCCCGCATCACACCCGACTCTCTCGGCTGCCAGCAGGAACCTGACACACGGGTCATTAATGAAGAAAAAGCCACAGCAATCTTAAAAGCAGCCAGATGTTTTGTCTCATTACTCTCAAAGTAGATGCTGACCCTGCATATATGTCCAAAAGGTGCATCCATCAAAAGACACGGATGCTGAAACCTCATATACTCGACCTTTTCATGCCATAAAAATCAAAGATGCAGCATGAAATACAACAGAAGCCACTTCCACAGAAGAAATGTCACACCAAACATTGAAAAAGTCTTAAGACAGACCAACTTATCGGTATGAGATTCATTTATATTCAGTATAAGCCCCAACGTGCTTACAGGACAGGGCTTATATTACAACAGAACAGTTTTTGTCAAGGATAACTACGAAGCTTGAAATAGCGCCAAAACCAACATCCTCCTCACGTCCTCTCCCAGAGCAGCATCGCACAGCTGACCCAAGGTAGGCTCCTGGCTCTCCCTCTGTCAGGCTCAAGGCAGAAAACTCTCAAAAAAATAATCATAACGAAAAGAAAAACCTCAAAAAAACCAAGTCTCTATATAAAGGACGAAAAGAATACAACACTTCACTCGTTACTTCTGTTAAATAAGCTGCCAAACTGACTTCAGACTAAAACATTTTCAGCTGCTATTTCAAAAAGGCTGCACTCACTCAGAATACCGTTTAATGAAACGGATGTAACTCCTATCGGCACTTGAAAATTCATTTTCTACACAGATTACCCGATTTCCACCTCTTCCAGATAAGGCCGGCGGGGGCGGGACGGGGGGGACAGAGGCGGTACCACGGCTTCCACCACCCGGTGGAAGCC